CGCTGCCTTGTGGCAAATTCCCAGCCTCACGCCCCTTCCACCACCTGTTTTCCACACCTCAAGCATGTCTGCTATCCACATTAGGATTTCCCATTTCATTAAGCAGCAGAATTCCAGTAAGCAGCAGAAAAGGACTGTGAACGATGATAGGCAGGAGCTAAAGGAACAACGAAGAAATGAACAACCAAGTTATTGTTTTGTACATTTGGTTCCGTTTGCCAGAACAGGGGTGAATTGTCACGAGTATTTATCGAACCCGAGTAGGGAAACAAAAAAAAAAGATAGATCTGGGGCGAGTCGTCGAGTACTTGTTTCTCTGATTCAAGCTACTCTATCAAATTATATCGTACCTCGTAACTGGGGTTTTTCAGGTAGAATAGATGACAAGGAGAGTAAAGAGAAGGTAAGGTCAATTTCCACTTGCCTCAACTATTCATGTCTACCTGTAAGAGATGCGGGTAATTGGCCACCTCACCAACCTATGACTAGTGTCTAAATTCCTTGTCTCCTTCACCCTGCGAATTGTGCTTGCTATAATGCCCCGCTTCTCCACACTACTCTGTGCAGAATTATGTTTCCCTGATTTTTCCCATAGCCGTCGTTTCTCCATGGTCTCTGTTCTCAGAATGCTCTTCAAAATCAGCTGTCGGGGAGCATACCTGCTGCACTGGGCGATCTCCTACATCTGGAATACATGTAAAGGATGACTACTGCATGTGCCAGTTTTCGATGCATACACTGTGCCAGTTCTGTTTTCATATTGCTCGAGTGTCCTCCCTGTCTCCATCTCCTTGACATAAGCTCACCTCAATAGTGGCAATGCCACACTTTATCTTGCTCACTTTCTCCTTTCTTGCAGCAAGCTGGGGAGCGGCCTCTTGGTGAGGAGCGACCAGCACTGGCGCGAGGTCGACCGCTGTCTCGCCTACCTCACCAACACGCGTGACACCGCCCTGGAGTTCGGCGGTGGACCTGAGTCGCTGGAGCTGGTCGGCTACGTGGACGCCGACAACGCAGGTGACAAGCCGAACAAGACGAGTACGGGCGGCTACGTGTTCGTCTACGGAGGGGCCGCAGTCTCCTGGACGAGCCAGCGCATCAAGTGCGCGACGATGTCGTCGACCGATTCAGAATACGTGGCGGCCACCGAAGCCGGCAAGGAGGGACGCCGACTTCGCTTCCTCCTCGCCGAGTTCCGGCAGTTGGATGCCGGGAAACCGACCGTCTTCCGGGTGGACAACAAGTCGGCCATCACGGTCGCCGAGGGCATGGGGTTGACGGGCAACCTCAAGCACATGGAGCGGTGACAGGCCTGGCTGCAGCATATGGTGAAGCGTGGGAAGTTTTCACTGAAGTACATTCCGACCGCTGACCAGCCGGCCGACTTCCTGACGAAGGCGCTGCACTATCCAGCCTTCAACCGGTGCTCCGTTGCCATTGGCCAGGTGCGCTTGGTCGACGTGGGCGATGGGGACAATGACGTGCAGCAGTAGGTGCCATGCCCTCCTGCATGGCTGGTGCGGTGACCGGCGTGCTGTGTGTTGGGTGCACGTCGACGAGCTATTCTCCGAGAAGTGATACCTTGTGGGCTGGGGGCCCAAGCATGAACGCGGCAAGGGAGTGTCAACGGGAGTTGTTGTTGGCCCCGTCCTCACTTGGGCGGAGCCGACTTTGTGGTTGGGTGTATGGGAGGTACAGCCGACTTGCAGCAGTGGGCGACGCCAACTTGGGCGAGCTGGTCGACGGGGTTGGTCGACTTGGTGAGGTTGACTGGAGGTGGCCGTCGACTTGGGAGGTCGACGGGCACATATAGGAGCACTTAGTCAACGTGGTTGCCCGGTCGACCAGGTTACCTGGGTGACGAGGTTCTGCGGAAGAGTGCGACGGTCGCCCAGGCGATGTTGGCGAGACTGACCTCGGTGGTGGTATCCCGAGGTCGACGTGGCGGATCAGGTGGAGTCGTCAGCACGAGGATGACTTGGTGTGTGCGTTGTGCAGGTGACGAGGCTCAGCACGCCAATCATTTGCGAGCACTTGCGAAGCTGGTGCGCTGTTGATCTGCGGGAGCAGCGTTGGCACGCCGTCGACTTTGCACTGCTGGAACGCGGTCGACCATGCTGTGCTGGCAGTCGACCGACCTGAATGCTAGCTCTGATGTAGTCTTGTCTTGCCAACCTGATTGTACCATTTTGTTGTCAACTTTCTCTAGTGAAACTCTTGCCTACTTGCCCCGTGAACAAGCAAGCAGTGTGTGCACTAGGAAAACGACTAAGGACTAACGAACGCGGAGATCACACGAGCACCCGTGCCTAGCCCGTAGTCTAGCTCCCGTTGTAATAGTTATCTCCGCACTTGTGACCTCTTGTTCTCCCCCACTTTGCCTATGGGGGTGTGTCAAACTTATATGATGCTTATTGTGTAGGCTACAGTGGGGTAGCCCATACGGGGTACAACCCAATTAGGGTTTGCTACTTGTACCCATCTTGCTACTAGTTCATCCATTCTCGCTTACTGATTCTGACAGATGTCGCTCTTCTCGTCCTTCCAAACGGATCCATATGATTTTCAGCGGGTTTATTTTCTCCTCCTCCCCTCCCACGCCCAGAGTCCACCACGATGTAACTCTGGTAGCCCTTTGGCTATTTAGCTTCCACCAAGGTATTGTGGTCCAGTCCCTTGAGTAACTTCCTATTCGAACAGATTGCTCGGCTTTCTTTGCTCTGATACCATGTTAGAATGGTCTAAGAGAATATCGGAAGCTATAGTAAATTTAGAACCTCCCCTTCAAGCTATAGTTTTAGAAGACATCTTCGGCATGAACCATGCTAGAACCAAGAGAGTTTTCAAGAAATGTGTCCAAGCAAAAGAGGTTTTCGCGTCAGGGCAGTCCTTTAACAAAAGAAATGCTGTCTAACGAGGTTTTTGTTATAGAACTCCATTTCTAAGAATTAAAAACCCTGTATCGCGCCACAAGAATTCGCACGCGAAATTGTTCTGACGTGGCACATCAAATGATTACGCTACAAATAATTCTGATGCGATTTCTATTTCACGTGGAAGCAAATCTCTGTTTTGTCGGATGTGGCTTGCTTTTTCATCGCGTGCGGCAATTGCCAGAGATTTTTTCACAAATGACGTAACGAGTCAATAGAGGAATGTTCAGGCATTTCATTTCAAACCAAATCCACCGAAACTACTTAAGGGCAGCACAGAATGTTGGAAACAAGTAACAAGCGAAGCGAAACACAGCGAAGCATCGGCGAGTCAACCCTCGGAGGTTGAACAACTGGTGGAGGTTACGCAAAAGTCAAAGGTCAGCGACCTTTGACCTGACAAATACAGCGCGACAGCAAGGACAAACAACTGATTCGTTATTGAGCAGTTGCCCGAGTCGTCACTGTATCGAACCGCAACAGCAACAGCAAAACAGTTATTAGTTATAACCCTTCATATTCCCTTGTACTCTTATAGAAGCTTGTATCTCTTTGTTTTAATCAATCTACTTTGCCCTCACATACCAGCGCAAGGTGGTTCACAAACTTCTCATTAAACGCTTCCGCTATTACATTGTCCTACTCAGAATTTAGTCCTGCAAAGATCCTAAGGGGTTTTTCAGCCCAACACAGACAACAATCATCCAAGAGTTTCTACTCGAACTCCATAGGCCACACGAAATCACCCAATAAGATTTCGTATTAAGCCGAGATGTAAGTGCTTTGTGCGAGTCTGACTAGAGGTTGGCCTGATAACAGGTCGTAGGAACACGCTCTTAACCATTAGGGTTTGGGAGGTGGTCCGCTCCAAAGAGTGTACACCACAAGTTCTCCCAACCCAACCAATGATTGGTACCAACACTGATTAGAAATATTTTTTTTTTACCCCAACACTGATTTTTCAGGTTTTTTTTTAGACGAACGTTGATAGAAAGTTTTTTTCCAAGAACCAACACTGACGAAAAAGCGGTGCCCAAAACCAATCAGAGGGCCTGATGTGCACCCCCGCTTTAAGCACGTGGTACTGTACTGGCCAGGCCCCACGATATCAGGGTACACCCCGATTACCCTGATTTCAGGATAGTGTCAGGTGTTTTCCTCGCAACTTGAGGATGATGGTATGTTTACCCTGTCACTTCAGGATATGTTTTGTGTTGAGCCCTGAAATTTCAGGAAGGCCGTGAGATTTTGCCCTGAAGCATTAGGACGAAGCTAGAGGACTGCCCTGACACGTATGCAGAAGGGGAAGGGGTGTGGGGGTGGGGGTGGGGGGGGGGGGGGGGATGGGGGAGAGGGGGGAAGGGGCGGGGGGGTGTGTGTACTGGTTTTGTCTCCTCCTGAGGATTTCGCCACTTCCTCGTCGTACCGTACCATGCATGCACCGGGCTTCCCAGTCATATCATGCCTTCCCCTCCACCTCTCTCATGTCTTGTGATTTTTTTGCCCCGAGAGATCAGGATGAACTCATGTTGGTGCCTTGGAAGTTTATTGTGCCAATGAATGATGAAAGAGGTTGCTTATGTGCCATGGCCAGAACTTTTATACAGATTGTACATTCCACGTGGTTTAATACGGTAGTGATGATGCCTGCAATGATGTATGGCATTTCCCTTGCTTGCCTTTGTAACAAACGCTAGTGACACCGTAAGTTGACTCACTCAAAGGTCAAGTTTTGGAAAAGAATGATTCTCTCGACAAAAACACATGTACCGTAGGTATGGCTGGTTCAGTCACACTTGATCACAACTGCGCCCTGTTGCTCTTCCTACTTGCTTCGTCCTTACCAGCACCTGGCTTGAGCTGAAGAAGTTATTATTGGTGGCAAGATTACCCTGCTCCTCCTCCTTGCTTGATATACCTTCGTACTGCTGCTCAAGTCAGCAGACACCTATCTGGAGCTGAAGAAGTTGCTGATTGTGGCTAGCACTCCCTGCTCCTCTTCCTCCTCGCTCCTCCTTGCTCCTCTTCCTCTTCTTACTGCCAGTCATCTATCCAAGGGTCAGCTTCCTAGCTGGAGCTGAAGAAGTTGCTGATAGTGGCGAGCACGCCCTGCTCCTCTTCTTCCTCCTTCGCAGCATCCTCTGCTTCGGCTTTCTTCTGTGCGTATCGTGCCGCCGCAATCCTCTCTGCCTCTGCCTGCGCCGCCTCTGACTTCTCCTCCTGGCACGTGAGAAGGATGCAAGGGGATGGTGAAGATTGCAGCAAGATAAAGAGACGCAACACCAAAGCAGAGCATGACATGACATCACGGTCTAATCTGCCTTTGCCACCCCTGACTGCTCGTCCTGGCATGTGAGAAGGATGAATCGGGATAATGAAAATTGCAGCAAGATAAGGAAGCTAGCGACAACATAATGACTGGCTGAAACACCAGGTTGCAACAGGATACTGCAGATTGCAGCGAGATCATGAATGGTGCCTTTTCGTCACCAGACCAGCAAACAACACGGCATCACAACACCATCTCCTCTGCCTCTGCCTTTGCAGCCTCTGAATTGTCATGCTCCTGGCACATGCCGTGAGAGGATCGTAATGAGATGACGAGGATCGCAGCAAGGTGATGAGGGTTGCAGCAAGGTGGTGAGGATTCCAGCAAGGTGACGTGGATTGCAATGCGCTGATGAAGACCACAACGGGATGACAAAGTTAACAACGGGATGACGAATGAATGAGGCAGGCAGGACTCTATCTCCTCCATCATCCATGCAGCCCAACCAGCCCAGTCACACACGCAGCCCTCTCAGCCCAGCCCAACCCAGGCCAGCCCAACCCAGGCCAGCCCAACCCAACCGAGCAGTAACGCACCACTTTCTTATGGAAGAAGCTCATGAGGTAAGACTCAGCCTCCTTCTTCTCCTCCTTCTTCTGCTCCTCCTCCTCCCCATCGTCCCATGAGAAGAGGCTCCAGAACCCGCTGCTCTCCTGCCCCTCCTCTTGCTGCCTCCGCTTCTCCTCCTCAAGCCTCTTCCGAGCCTCCTCTTCTGCCTTCCGAGCCTCCTCCGCTGCCTCCCGAGCCTCCTGCTCAGCATCCTCTGGGGGGAAGTAGGGCGCGACAAGGCCCTTGGCGATGTAGATCGCGATCTGCATCTTTATGGCGTCCGTGTATGACTGGGGGGGTGAAGGGGGGTTAGGAAAGGGGGCAAGGGAAAGGAGTGGCAAGGGGAAGGGGAATGGCATTGGGAGCACAGGAGGAAGTAGGGGCGACTAGCCCCTTGGCGATGTGGAAGGAGGGAGGGAGGGAGGGAGGGAGGGAGGGAGGGAGGGGGGGGAGGGGGGGAGGGAGGGAGGGGGGGAGGGGGGGAGGGAGGGAGGGGGGGGAGGGAGGGAGGGGGGGAGGGGGGGGAGGGAGGGAGGGGAATCATGGGGGCGGGACGAGGACGGAGTGAGGGATGGGACCCTTGCCGAGCGATCTGCATCCACATGGCGTCCGTGTTCGACTGGGGGTGAATGGGAGGGTGTGGCGGGGGGGAGGGGAGGGGAGCGGGAAGGGGAAGGGGAAGGGCAATGGGAACACAGGAGGAAGTGTTGAGGAGAAACGATCTCCTCTGCAATGTGGATAGCGATCTGCGTTCTGAAGGCGTCCATGTACGGTGTACGACTGGGGGGTTCGGGGAGTGGGGAGGGACTAGGACATATGAAGAGGGTTGGGAAAACCGTTGAGGGACGCACATTTTTATTTGCTTTTAGTTTGAAAAGTTCTAGCTTCGCCTCGATTGTGCGCTCCGTTGTTACTCACCTCCCCGCCTTACCTCTCCGCCCCCCATCGTGTGATGCGATGTGAGGAAGGTGCAGGCAAGCAGGGAGTGGACGAATGATGTGTTGTGAGCGGTTCAGAGGCTTACGAATCCGTCGGGGATGTATCTGTCGAGCTTGGCCTCCACCTTGTACGCCACCATCATCTCCACCCGTCGCTGCACACCACGTGTCAGGTAGCTGGCGAAGTCAGACAGGGCCTCCTGCCAATGGGGAGAAGGAAGGATGTGTGTCAACGGGGAGGTTGGAAGGGGAAGGGGGGGGATGGTGGAAGGGAAAGAGGAGGGGATGTGTGAGAGATGGGAAATCGTGCAATCGTATAGTGTTTATGTGCCTCGCTGTCCAACTAGCATCACGAAACGCGGTATTGTGGCTCTTTCACGAAACGCGCGACCGCGAGAACTCAGAGAGCGGAATCGCGGCGAACAAGGCGATAGAACGAGGCGCCACGCAAGGCCGTGGTGGTGTGTGAGGCGATGATGACGTGTGAGGCGATGATGACGTGTGAGGCGCCTCAAAGTACAAAAGCGCGTCACACGAGGCTGAAACACCTCAGATCTGACTGATGCGTTGAGGCACTTCCGAGCCGGCGCGGCATCGCGGCGGACCTGGCGAGTTCCACGGAAGGCGCAATGCGCGCGCACTGGCGACGCGGGACCAGCAGCACATTTGGGAAAAAAATAATGTTTTGACACGTTGAAGAAAAGGACGACCAACGTCTGAAAGGGACGCTGCTGAAGAGAAGAGCCGTCTATAGACGTAATGCGGCAGGACCAGCGGCTCAGAAGCCACCAGTTCCTCTGAAGCTTTCAATCTGATATGATTTCTTGAATCTATAAAGGAAAAACAAAAAAGCGCACACACACACTGAGAACGATGATGCTGGTGTATGCGCCATGAGAGAGGCCGCATTATGCGGCGAGTTTTTAAGCGCTTAATATGCGGAGATCGATGCAGAGCATCTGGCGGCGTGATCATGCGGCACGCCCAACGGCCCTCGCGATTTCGCCGCGGAATTCGCTACTCAAGTCAGACGTCGCAAAGCTTTTATTTCTATAATGAGAATGCAGCATTCTCAGCCGCATTTGGTAGTATGAGAAAGAGCATCACCATTATTCAAAGTTCTGCGGTGGCGCTGCGAAGCGGGTGTGGGAGAGAAGCACGTGTTATTTCAGGAGCCGAAGGCGAAGAATGAAGGTGAAACGCAACGGAATGGCCGAGATTAGAAATGGTGAGCAGGCATGAGTCAAGGCTGGCTGCGGTGTTTCGTGACTGCCGCTTGCTTGGAGGAGGATGAGGGGAGGAGGAAGCAGCGCAGTGAGGGAGCGGATTGAAAGAGTCAAGCCGAAGCAGCAGCAAAAGCACCATCGCAAACATGTATGCCAGTCAAGATGAGCATTTCGCGCTGACGTGATTGGCAGTTTTCGCGAGCTCGGATTGCACCGCGAATCGTCAGGGCGGGTGACCTTTCTGTTCATCTATAACGGTTGAGAACGATTCTGTACTCTTCTAGAGCGGTGTTCACCTTCACCATCTTGAACCGTTTCTTACCACGCTGAAGATTTATACATGAACCACAATTGTATTTTCGCCCGATCCGCCCTCAGTCCCAACCCAACCAATCCCAAGTCCCAAGAGAGGGCCTCAAGTGCATCTCTTCCCGCGAAGGATTTCATTTCGTGATGTCAGTTGGGATCAAGCAATATGAAACTGACCCGACAATGATGCAGTTTCCCGTGTGGTTTGATTTGAAATCGAACCGAACACATTGGATGGTTGGGGAGAGTGGTGGCTGCCTGTCAGTCTGTCGAACCATTTTCCGGTTGGGTCGAGAGTTTTGTAATTGGACTGAATCAGACCATGCGAACGCGGGCGAATCACGGAAGTTGCACCGCAAACCGCTCCGAGCCTCTACCAAATTGCAAGGCTCCATTCCGTCCCGCGATCGAATGCAAACAGGGTAACACAACTTTTGTTTCTTCGCGAACTTATCGTAGGGCCACTGAACGTCCACATCAACGTCGTGCGACAGCCTCGGGATGTCCTCAAGTATTCCCCCAAGATCATTAGGTCTTACTCGGCTTCTAATAGTCTCTTATATCGTCGTGTCTAGCAGCCGCTTATTGCGTGAAGAGGGAACCGCCGACGCGCGCACTGTCAGCCTGTCTTGACGCAATCGAGTTTCTTAATTTCATGCTCCGCGATTAGCCGCATTCGAACACAGCTTTTTATTTCCAAAACAGAAAAGAATTTTGCAGATTCCACATTTCATAAATCTGTCCAGTAACGAAGCAGCTACAAGCGAGTACTAGTACAGTGGACCGCGCGTTTCATGAACCTATCGGCGTCCGTGTGCTCGGCGGCGAAGCGCATTCAGAAGGATACTGACCAGTAACGAAGCAGCTACAGGCGCGTAGGGGTTTCATGAACCTGTCTGCGTCCGTGTGCTCGGCGGCGAAGCGCATTCAGAAGGAGCTCGCGGATATCGGCGCGGAGCCCTCCGCAGACTGCTGGGCGGGGCCGAAAGGCGACAACCTCTTCCAGTGGGTCGCCACGCTGCTCGGCCCGCCAGGTGCGCGCGTGTAATTGTAACGTAGGGGCGTAATGAGCGTACTTGTAACGGGAATGTTTCCTAGCTCCCCGGTTTGTCGGTTACTTGCACATTGATTTGTAAACGTGGGCTTTGTCGGTTAGACCCCCGTTCGCAGGTTGGCGATGCGTCGGTGTTCCGGGTCTGGGGATGTCGAGCCTTTGTCCGCGATACGTTCGCGAACAAGCTCTCCTCCCACGCCGTTCCCTGTGTCTTTCTTGGCTTTGTCCCTGACGCGCCTGGCTGGCAGTTTTACCACCCCACCTCGCGCCGTGTCCTGCCCTCTCAGGACGTCACGTTTGACGAGTCGGTTCCCTTTTACCGTCTCTTCCCCTACCGCACTGCCCCTCTCCCCCCCCCCGCCGCTCTTCCTAGCACCAGGTCCTCCTCCGGTAGACCCCCTCCCCCCTCAGGGTCCTGCTCCCTCAGGTGTGTCCCAGGTAGACCCTGTCGAGGTAGCTGTCGACTCTGGTGCTGCTAGAGGTGGTGTGTCTGGGGGTGCTAAGCCTGTGGGTGCGGGGCCTGGGGGTGCTGAGCTTGAGCGTGCGGAGCCTGGGGGTGTCCTCCTTGTCCTGTACCTCTCACGCTTGCGGAGGAGTCTTTCCCTCCAAATTGCTTTCCCCCGCGGACCTGCTTCTGCTTCCCCCAGTACTACCCCTTGAGACAGACCCCTGTCTCTCACCACACCCTTCCCCCCCTCCCTTCCCCCCTACCTCTCCCTCTCCTTTCCTACTGCAGACTCACCGTATCGCGGGGGAGTTTTTTTCCTCGACATTGCCTTCCCCCAGGACTACCCCTTCAGGCCTCCGCAGGTATGCACCCCCTCCTCCTCCTCCTCCTCCTCCTCCTCCTCCTCCTCCTCCTCCTCCTCCTCCTCCTCCTCCTCTCCCCCATCTCTATCCGTTCATACTCCTGACGCGCCGTATCGCGGGGGAGTGTTTTTCCTCGACATTGCCACCCCAGTGCATCACAACTTCACTTTACTGTACCACGTTTTTGTTGTCGCTGCATCGTTCCTGGCGAATTAACTCCTTCCTCCCTCCCTGCGTCACACTACAACCACCTCTCCCCCCCCCCCCCCCCCCCCCCCCCCCCCCTCTCCCCCGCCCCCCTCCTTCCCCCCCCCGGGCATCTGGCATCTGGAATTGGGTCACCTTCTCACGGCCTGCCTGCTCTTGTGCTTTCGTCCGCCGCTGCAAGCACTGTGTGTGTGCAGAACCAGTGGTAGCAACGATTCTCTGTTTTTACCTGCTATGCTCCCCCCATTCCCCAAACCCTCCCCTCCCGCTCCCTACATGTCCATCCATGCCCTGCCACCCTCCCAACCCATCCCCTTCCTCCCCCTGCTTCTTGCATCCACGCACCCAGGTGTGTTTCCGCACGCGCGTGTACCACTGCAACGTGTGCAGCGCCAGTGGGCGCATTCGGCTGCATCTGCTGGACGATGGCTGGAGCCCTGCCATGACCATTGCTCGCGTGCTGCAAGCCATCATTCACCTGCTCCGGTTCCCCGTGCCAGGTGAGGCAACACAGTGCTCTCATGCCTTGCCATGAGATGTTAGGGTCTGCTGGACGATGGCTGGAGCCCTGCCATGACCATTGCTCGCGTGCTACAGGCTGTCATTCACCTGCTGAGGTTCCCGGTTCCAGGTGAGGCACTATGTAGGCAGTAGTTAGGTAGCTCGGCACGGTCTGGTGTGGTGTGGTGTGGTGTGGTGTGGTGGCCGCATTCGGCTGCATCTGCTGGACGATGGCTGGAGCCCTGCCATGGCCATAGTGCGCGTGCTGCAAGCTGTTATCCACCTCCTGAGGTTCCCTGTGCCAGGTGAGGTGAGGCAGCATGGCGTGGTATGGGTTGTCAAGTTGGTGTTGTCTCATGTGTTATCTTGAAATGACACTCTCTCCAGCCCCCAATCGTTTTGTCCGCTCAGAGAAAGCGCTGCTGGGTGGCATCACACATTGCCGTGTGTGTGTGTGTGTGTGTGTGTGTGTGTGTGTGTGTGTGTGTGTGTCTTTCTCTCTCTGGTTAGCCTGGCATAACGCATCATTGTGTGTGTTTGCCTGCCTGCCTGCCTGCCTGCCTGCCTGCCTGCCTGCCTGCCTGCCTGCCTACCTGCCTGCCTGCCTGCCTGCCTGCCTGCCTGCCTGCCTGCCTGCCTGCCTGCCTGCCTGCCTGCCTGCCTGCCTGCCTGCCTGCCTGCCTGCCTGCCTGCCTGCCTGCCTGCCTGCCTGCCTGCCTGCCTGCCTGCCTACCTTTCCCCGTGCTTGTCTCTCATCATTCCTCTCAGAGGAAGCGTTGGTGGGCTGCATCGCACACCGCTTTGTGTTTGACCGTCCCTCACACGACCGCATCGCCGCTGATTGGACCAGGCGCTTCGCCACGTGATTGGCCAGAATCGTGTGGCACGTAATTGGACGAGGCATTTAGTTGATTCCCACAGTGTGATACAGAGCGCACGAGGCCACGCAGAAGCCAAGCAAGCAGCAAGCATGATACCCACCCTCGCACACCCTTCAACATGGCCCCACCCCATCGCCGCCTACTCCTCCTACCCTCCTCGTCCCCTTGCAACCCCATGCCTCCTCTTGAGAAGCAGCGGATATGCACATGAGAGATACACCTACGTCCAGCAGCGCCGCAGAGGTTTTGTTTGCAGCCAGAGCAGAGAGGGCGAGGGCTGTGGTAGCCAGAGCAGAGAAGCTGCTTTCTCAGACATGAACCATGGGGAGACTGTATTTTCTGCTAAAACATTCCCTTCATCAGCATCGCCATCATTGTCTGCAGCAGCAGTAGTGTCTGAGGAGTGTCAGAAAGGTTCCCCACTGGTGCTGCAAGTAGGGAGGAGGGGTGTGATGCTGGGAGCCTCTCTTGCTGCGTCGGGGCTGGTTGGAGGGTCAGTGGCGGGGGTGGGCGGCGCTGCATGGGGGGTGGAGGCTCGGCAGTGGGGTGACGGCAAGAGTGTGGAGATTCGACAAATGAAGGATAACTTTGGGGTGAGTGAGTGAGTGAGTGAGTGAGTGAGCGGTGGGGGTCGAATCGAAGTGGGTGCAGAGCGGTGGGAGTGGGTGCTGCATGGGGGATGGAGGCTCGGCAGTGGGGTGACGGCAAGAGTGTGGAGATTTCGACGCATGAAGGACAACTTTGGGGTGAGTGAGTGAGAGATTGAGTGAGTGAGGGAGTTAGTGAGTGTGAGTGACTGAGTGAGTGAGTGAATGAGATATGATGTGCTCCTTGGTAGTGTTTCCTGGCCTCTTGCACTGGCCTGCTCTGCCCTCTCTTCGTTTCTCCCCCTCTTCTCTGCCCTCTGCTCACTGCTCCCTGCTCTCTCTGCTCTTCTGCTCACTATCTGCCCAGTGCTCCCGTGTCGCTGCTCACTCACTGCCTGTGTGTGGGACCTCTCTACCAGGTCCTTCTTCTGAACGCGGCAGAGGAAGTGCAGAGGGAGGTGGGTGGGAGCACAGACAGGCCCCTGCTCCTCTGCTCGCTGCTCACTCGCTGATTACTCACTCACTGCCTGTGTTGCACCTGTCTTTCAGGTCCTGCTTCTGAACGCGGCAGAGGAAGTGCAGAGGGAGATCGGGGCACAGACAGGCGCAGCATACCAGAGAGAGGTGAGGAGAGCAGTGGAGGAGTGAACCCACGTGGACACTGTTTTCTCCCCCGTTCCCCCTGCCTACTTCCCTGCTGCGGCTGTCAGGTGCTGCTAATGAATGTGGCAGAGGAGGTGATCAATGAGCTGGGGATGAAGACTGGTGCTGACTACAAGAAAGAGGTGCGCGCAGGCGTTGAGTGCGGTTCAAAGGGTTGAGCTATGTCATTATGAATGCAGCAGGGGAGGTGATTAACGAACTGGGGATGGAAACCGGTGTTGTCCACCGACTGCAAGAGGTGCGTGCAGTGCAGTGTGGTGCGGGCGTTGAGTCCAGCCGGCCGGATAATCTGTTTAAGAGTGCAGTGCAGTTTCGAAGTGAGTGCTTCTGAAACTGTGATGTGATGACCGCAGCGCAACAGGGGAGGTGATGAAAAGTCATGAGCGCAAAAAGGGAGGTGATTAAGAAGCTTGGGATGAAGAAGAGCAGTCAGTGTGCACCACAAGAAAAGAGGTGTGAGTAGGTGTTAAGTGTGGTTCAAATGTGAGTGACTTCAATGAATGCAGCAGAGCAGGGGATGTGAAAAAAAGAATGATTTGGGGATGTGAGTGTGTAAGAGCTGACTGATCGGATTCAATCATGTGTGATGAAGGCTGAGGCCCACTGCTGACCATGCTACAGGTATACCTCACCAGAGGGACATATACCTGCCGACCAGGACATGTATTGGAGAGATATGATCATAGCTCACCCACCCTTCTGTCCCCCATCTGCCTCCCACTCCGTCCTCTCCAGTTATTCAAGCTGCGCCAACAGGAGTTCCAGCCGCTCAAGAAGGCCAACTTCGGTTTGGCTGTTGGGTAGCGTCCCTTTCATTCCGCCTGAACCTTCTCCTCCCCACCCGTCTGTCCCCCCCATTCCTCCGCCCCCCCAACCCCTCTTCAGTTCTTCAAGCTGCGCCAGCAGGAGTTCCAGCCGCTCAAGAAGGCCAACTTTGGAGGGCTGGTGTCGCTGGGGTGAGGCATGGAGGGGGATGCGGCATGTGGGAGTGGGGGGTTGAGCATGTGGGGGAACCGGGGCATGAGAGGTGTGAGCAGCTGTTGGGCGGGCAGGAGGGCAAAGACAAGACACCTGGGAATCAGATTGGGGGGGATGGGGATAAGGATGGGGATAATGGATGCGTCAAGAGAGGAGTTTTGGGCCAAGTCACAGGTGTGCCCATGAGTGCACATTCACTCACCTCTTCGTTCGTTCGTGCAGTGCAGGGCATGCATCCATGATCCATCCATGCATGATCCCTACGCTCCCTTACCCTCCCCTCCTCTCCCCTCCTTTCTCCTCCCTTCTCCTCTCTCCCCCCCCATGAACGAGCAGGCAGAGCTTCACAGTGAACGATGTTCCCTACTTCAACTTCCAGTCATACATCCAGGTGGGTGGAGGAGGGATATGGTGCTGCTCGCACATCCAGGTGGGCAGTGAGTGCTGTGAGCAGTGGGAATGCAGCGAGTGAGCACTGGTCAAGCAGGCAGAGCTTCACAGTGAAGTGAACGATGTGTCCTACTTCAACTTCCAGTCGTACATCCAGGTGGGTGGAGGAGGGATATGGTGCTGCTCATCCATTCCATTCCATCCACCAGGTGAGAGCAGAGAGCGCTGCGAGCAGTAGGATTGCAGTGAGCACTGGTCAAGCATGCAGCAGGTGATTCAGCGATGTGCCTTCCTTCAACTTCTAGTCATTCATCCAGCCAGGTGAGCAGCACAGCACTGGGGTGCTGGTCTGGTCACACATACAGGTGAGAGCGGCTACATCCAATCCAGGTCTGACTTTTCCTCACAGTGAACGATGTGCCCTACTTCAACTTCCAGTCGTATATCCAGCCCAGGTGGGCACTGGGGTGCTGTGCTGGTGGCACAACCAGCCCAGGTGAGCATGGTGTGCTGTGCTCTCGACACATCCGCACGCTGCTGCAACAGTCCCTCTCACCCTGCCCCAACTGCTTGAAATGAGCGAGTTTTTGAGACGTCTCAACAAAACTCACTCATCCGCACGCTGCTGTAACAGTCCCTCTCACCCTGCCCCAACTGCTTGAAATGAGCGAGTTTTTGAGACATCTCAACAAAACTCACTCATCCGCACGCTGCTGTAACAGTCCCTCTCACCCTGCCGGTGCTGCTGCCCCACGTCACTTTTTGAGTCGACTCAAAAGGCACTGCAGCAGCAGTCTCTCCCTGCCCATGCTGCTGCCCCACGTCACGTGCCTGTTTTCCCTCCTCTCACTCAATTGTTCCCCCTTGCCTCGCCTCGTCTCCCTGTCTTTCCCCCGCCCACCTCCCCTCTCCCCACTACCTCCACCCTTACTCTCTCCTTGTCGTCCCTCCCCCTTCCCTCTGTTCCCCCCCATTCGTCTCTGCCCCGCCAGTGGGAGCTCATTGCCAGCCTGTTCCCCACGCTTACTCTCTCTTGCTCCCCCCTCTCCTCCCTACTTCCCCCCTCCCCTCCCTTCTTCCCCCCTCCCCTCACGTCCTCCCCCCCCAATTCATCTCTTCCTCTCCAGTGGAAGCTGATCGCCCGCCTGTTCCCCACACAGCGAGTCAGGCAGGTGAGTGGCCCATGTGCCATTGTAACAACGTGACTTTTGAGTAGACACGAAAGTCGCCTCACACTCTCTTCATCTCTCGTTTTCAAGCACATTAACATAAGATCCGTGGTCCATCCACGGATGTCATGTCAGCCGCTGGATGGATCAAGCGATTGGCACAAGAAGCACTTGCTTCTGTTTCTGTGTACGCCTCGCGCCATTTCTGAAAATTGGCACTTACGCCTTTTCCTACCACTTCCCCCCTACGTCTCTCTCAGGAGATCAGCGCCCGCTTGGGAAGGAAACTGCTGGACCGAGTGGCACCAGAAGCACGTCCCCTGTTTGCTCCATCCCTTCTTTCTTACACCTTTTCTTCCTCTCCTTCCCCCCTATGTCTCTCGCAGGAGATCAGTGCCCGTCTGGGGAGGAAGCTTCTTGACCGTTTTCTTTCTCAAGCCTCTTCGTCCCCCCGCCCCCCCTTGTAAATCTTGCAGGAGATCAGCACTTGCCTGGGGAGTGAGCTGCTGGATGGAGTGGCACGAGAAGCACTTCCCTGTCTCCAGCCGTCAATACCCATCGGCCATAATCGCCGCCCTCCCTGCTTTCTTAAGGCTCCTCTCCCCCCTCGCCCCCCATTTGTCTCTCGCAGGCGATCAGTTCCCGCCTTGGGAGAAAGCTGCTGGACCGAGTGGCGCCAGAAGCAGTTCCCGGTTTCAGCCATCCCATCTCTCGTAAACCTCCTGCCCCCTGCCCCCCTGTCCCCCCTACGTCTCTCGCAGGAGATCAGCACCCGCCTCGGGAGGAAGCTGCTCGATCGAGTGGCACCAGAAGCACTTCCCCTGTTTCTGCCCTCCCTGATTTCTTTGGCCTCTTCTTCACCCCCTTTACCCTGGGTTTCCCTCGCAGGAGATCAGTGCCCGCCTGGGGAGGAAGCTTCTAGACCGAGTGGCAATGGAAACAGTTCCCCTTCTTTAAGCTTCTTCTCCCCCCTTCCCGCATTATGTCTCTCACAGGCGATCAGTGCCTGCCTGGGGAAGAAGCTTCTAGACCGAGTGGCAATGGAAACAGTTCCCCTTCTTTAAGCTTCTTCTCCCCCCTTCCCGCATTATGTCTCTCACAGGAGATCAGTGCCCGCCTGGGGAGGAAGCTTCTAGACCGAGTGGCACCAGAAGCAGTCACTATCGCTCTTGCACTCCCCCCATCCTCCCTCTCCTCCTCTTCCTCCTCCTCCGCTTCCCCCTCGCCGTCCTCCTCCACGTTCTCCCCCCTCTCCCCCGCCACCTCCCTACCATTCGCCCGCATCGCCACGTCAGCACCGCCAGCATCATCATCAGCCGAACAGGTGGACGACCAGGATTGGCTGGACCCGCCGTCGCTGCTGTCAAAGCAATCCCTCCCACCACCACCACCACCAGCAGCAGCCGGAGGGGGGGAGGTGCGGCCAGCAGGGCTGGTAGCTGGAGTGGAGGAGATTCTGCAACGCTTGCTGGACGTGGGGTTCCTGCAGGTGGGTGGGTGAGAGGGGTGAAAGGAGTCAAGGGTTTGGGGTTGATGGTGAAAAGGGGTTAGGGGAAGGATAGGTGCAGAAAATAGGTGCTGCCAGCAGGGCTGGTGGCTTGTGGAGTGGAGGAGATTCTGCAACGCCTGCTGGACGTGGGGTTCCTGCAGGTGGGTGGATGGTTGAAACACAGCCAGATGTCTGGCGTTGTTGGTTGCAGGTGGTCGTTTGGGGCCCGTGTGAACAGAGGAACGGGTGGGAAGGGGAGGTGCGGCCAGCAGGGAGGGCTGGTGGCTGGGGTGGAGGAGATCTTGCAACGCCTGCTGGGTGTGGGGTTTCTGCAGGTGGGTGGGTGGAAGGGGTCAGGGGTTGGCGGATTGATGGTGGGAGGTGAGTGCTGTAGGGTCATGAGAGGAGACAATGAGTGGGGAGGGCTGGTGGCTGGGTTGGAGGAGATCCTGCAGCGACTGCTGGACGTGGGCTTCCTGCAGTGCAGGTGGGTGGGTGAGAGGGCTGTGGCATCTGGTGGGTGGTAGGTGGTGCTGGGCTCGTGGCTCGTGGCTCGTGGCTCGTGGCTGGTGACTCGTGGCTCGTGGCTCGTGGCTGGTGGCTCGTGGCTGGGTTGGAGTAGATTCTGCAACGTCTGCTGGATGTGGGCTTCCTGCGGGTGGGTGGGTGAAAGGGGTCAGGGGTTGGGGGGTTAGGGGTTAGGGTTGATGGTGAGCGGGGTGGGGGGAGGATATGTGCAGAAAATAGGTGCAGGCGGCAGGCAGGACTGCTGGCTGGGGTGGAAGAGGTTCTTCACTGCCTGCTGGATGTGGGGTTCCTTCCTACACTGTCGAGTTTTGAGGCGCCTTTTGAGGCGACTTTTGAGGCGCCTCAAAAATGCTGGCTGGGGTGGAAGAGGTTCTTCACTGCCTGCTGGATGTGGGGTTCCTTCCTACACTGTCGAGTTTTGAGGCGCCTTTTGAGGCGACTTTTGAGGCGCCTCAAAAATGCTGGCTGGGGTGGAAGAGGTTCTTCACTGCCTGCTGGATGTGGGGTTCCTTCCTACACTGTCGAGTGGGTGGCAGCAGCAGGCGGTGGTTTGTGAGTCATGTGACTCGCACCACTCTCTCTATGCTTTTGCTGTCCTCATCCCATCTCTGCTTCGCATTCACTGTCTGCCACACAGGCCTACACTGTGGACTGGGTGGCAGCAGCAGGCGGTGGTGTGTGAGTCATGTGACTCGCACCACTCTCTCTATGCTTTTGCTGTCCTCATCCCATCTCTGCTTCGCATTCACTGTCTGCCACACAGGCCTACACTGTGGACTGGGTGGCAGCAGCAGGCGGTGGTTGGGCAGAGTGGGATAAGGATCGCCGAGGCAGCATGCAAGTGAAGGTGCAGGTGAGCTGTGCACTCGCTTATCGCTCCCCCCAGGTGCAGGTGAGCTGAGCTGTACAGTCGCTTATCACCCCACTGATGTCCAGGTGAGTTGCGCACTCACTTATCACTCCTCCTTCTGGCTGAAATATCAACTAGGGTAGTTTCCCGGGTTCAGAAAATATGGGGCAGCAAAGGTGGGGGGAAGCAGCAGGCGAAGCAGGAGAGAAGGGGCAGGAGAGGTTGAGGGAACGAGTAGATAAGCACTGCGGTTGCGTCTTGTTCCTCCCCTTGTGGCCTGTCTCTTGTAAAAAAAAAAAGTAATTTTCATTGAAGGAGTTAACAGTGAAATTTGAGGGAGGGAATACGATGAGTATTTTTCCCCTCGATCATGCTCCCTTCCTCTCCTTCTTTTCACTATCACTAGATTCGCCCTCACTCACTTTCTCACTCATTCCGACACTCGCTCCCTCACTCACTCTCAGGGACCGGCCAATCTGGATGGAGCAGTGCTGTTGCTTGCAGAGAGTAACTATGCTCAGGTGAGTCATGGGGTGGTGTGACTATATCACGTGCGTGGGGTGGTGTGACTATGTCAGGTGCGTGGGGTGGTGTGACTGGGGAATTTTTTCAAGACCCTTCTTGTAATTCCGCCCCTACCAGAACTATTTCCCATCTGTCATTTGAAGTATGGCATCTGCAGCTTCCATCCATTCCAATTCGAATCCCTTGTACCAAATCGTTCTTCCCTTCCCTCTCTCCTCCCCCCCAGCGCTGCTCCTCCATCATCCGAGCCTTCTTTGAGCGAATGGGGATGCAGGATGATGTACGGGCAAAACTCCCTTCCCAGTCTGACTCATTCTTCCAACCCCCCCTCTTCCTTTGACTCCTCCCCTCCCTTTTCCTCTCCTCCCCCCTCCAGCGCTACTCCTCCTCCATCATCCGAGCCTTCTTTGAGCGAATGGGGGTGCAGGCTGACGTGGATGAGTACTTATACAGGGAGAAACTCAATGTACGACAGTAACAAAAACCACAATTCATACAAACAATCATTGTTACATATAAATATAAAGATATATATATATATATATGTATATATATATCATACAACTCTTCGTGAAGGTCTGCAGAACATGTAGAGAGTAGGACTGGTCGTTCGTTTGCTTGCCCACTTCCTTTTTTGCCTTCCAACTCCTTTTGCCTGCCTATCCATCTTTTCTTTCTTACTTCTCCCTCCTTTAGTGAGCGATAATATACTGAGCCACTTGCCACTCCCTTCCCACGGCCCTCTTATTCCTCTCCCTTCCACAATCAGTACAATCCCAAATTGCCTCTCGAGCAAGCACTCCTTTCACTGGGGGACCCTCTCGTGCCTCTCCTCCTTTCTTTCACGAAAAACACAAGCCTAAACCACTTGCCGCTCCCCACCCATGCCCCTCGTTCTCCCCACTTCTGCCCGTCGTCCTCCCCACTTCTGCCCCTCCTCCCCTCCCTACCACAAGCAGTACAAGCCCAAGTCGCTTCTCGAACAAGCAGTTCTTTCGCTCGGTGACCCTCTTGTCCCGGTGACGTCTCTTCCTCTCATGCCTACTCTTTCGCTTCATCTGTGCAATAATGTATCCCTTCCTTTCATTGCCTGAGAACCTCCCTCCATCTCCCCTCGGTCAATTTTCTGTCACGCTTCTTACCTGTGTTGTCAATTCCGCGCTCCATGTTTCCGTGCAATGTGTGTATTTTTCCAGTTGCTGAGATTTGGGATATATTTCTCAAATGATTTGCATTCCCTTTTTTGTTGAAATGCTTGCATGGCAATGGCAGGTGGTGAATCAATTTGATGTGGATGAGATCATCGAGACCTGGGATCTCAGACTGCCACCTCAGCAATGAATATGAAGCTGCCATCTCAAATCATTGTGGGGAAATGCGATGTATTTGCGCTCTTCTGACCGCCTGAGGTAGTGACCAAACATCATAACTACGGTACGGTCGGTCGGTAGGAAGAAATTGTGACCATCCTTACAAAAGCGCCTCCAAAAGTGTGCAGCTGAAAGTGCTTGTATGGGGAAGCGTGAGTTTGGGGGCTGGTCTGGTGCAACTGGCAAAGCGATGCAGTCGTGCGTTTTTCCGGAGGAAATGACGAGGCGACGCGTTTCCAAATTTTCGATTCTAATGGGCAGTGGTTTTGTCCGCGCATCGCTTTGCGATCGCGCCCAATTCCCACGGTCATTTTGTTTTCTCAAAACAGTTTGGAAGGGGCGAAAAATAATACGGTAAACCCTCTAGGGAAAGGCATGCAAACAGGGGACGCATCAACCCTAAATACCTTGCCACATTGTGTTTATGCATCCCATGTTTACATGCCTTTCCCGAGAGGGTATATATGTTTTGCCCCGGAAAAAAACCTACCCCGGTACCTTACAACACCCTTGACATCAGGGTGCAGAAAATTGTCAGACAGTTCCCACCACAACCCCCTTCCTCTCCCTTTCCACCACATTGCCTTGGCTGCTCTGTGCTTAGTTAGAAAACTCAGTCACAATACCAACATTTCAAACTTCTCTAAAATAACCGGGCTCCATCCATCTCAGAGTACCAACAACACCATCTACACACATAAATGTTCACATTGCTAGCGCGCTCCCCTTGCTAGCTTTGTTTTCGTTGCTCTTTCTTTTTTTGTTTGTCTGCTAGTCATTTTTCATACGGTACCAAAATGCTTCAAACACAAGTTTTGAGGGAAAAGGGCACACAAACAAAAAGCATAGAAATCCAAGTAGCACATGAAGTTCCGATCCAAGAGCAGTTAGAAATCCGTCCTAAAGAACTAAAGTCAAACACTATGGTACAACAAGCCAATCAAGCGTGTAATCGCATCCTTAGTGCATGCACTGTACTGAATGACTTAACCAATTGTCACCCAAATTGGTTGGTTCCTGGCCTCCAGCAACCGCATGCACTTGCTCGCACCTCTGCTCCATCAGCCCCTGGCGACCTGACGTCCCACTTGCACTGCCAACTTGTACCTTTCTTGTTCACCAACCCCTTTGAAGTGAAAATTATCAGCTCTCTGGGTTGCAATGAGTGGGCGAACATGAGGGCAGGCCAGAATGTAGGAAGTGACATGAAACGGAAGATGAACCAGGATGACCAGCTATGGGAGCAACATGTGGATGGCGGAGGCATATGACTCAAGCAGATGAGAATGTGTGGCGATAAGAATTTGTGGTGATAAGAATGTGTGGCGATAAGAATGTGTGGCGATAAGAACGTGTGGCGATGAGAATGTGTGGCGATAAGAATTTGAGGTGATAAGAAGGTGTGGTGTCGTGATAAGAATGTGTGGTGATAGTGGTGGCATGCCAATAATTAGAGCAGCCAGCGGAGAAAAATATGAAAGGAAGAGCACGAAAGATATCACATATTTCACCCTCGTCCTCTACCTCTCCCTTTGCACCCTCTGTCCCTTACAGGTGAACTTGTTGTAATAATCCATTTGGAACCCTGCCTTCAACCGGCATGCCGCCCTTCCGTTCACCACCTGGCACTGCGCATTGGCAGGGCAGCCATTCTTGCATACGGCTGCCACATGTGATGGGGACAAAGTAGAATGTAAATCAATGAGCAAGATGGAGATGAGGGCACACAGCAACTCTAGATAACATAAATATGGCAGGCAGGCAGGCAGGCGGGCGGGCGGGCGGGCGGGCGGGCGGGCGGGCGGGCGGGCGGGCGGGCAGGCAGGCAGGCAGGCATCAATAGGGGCTAGCTTGAAAGCGGGGGTCGTGGGGGGTGGAGGTACATGCTTCTCAAGGTCTCTTACGTGTGCACTTGTTGTTCTTCTCCATTCGGAACCCTGCGTTGCACTGACATGCCGGATTCCCTTTCACCACCTTGCACTCCGCATTAGCAGGGCAGGCGGAATTGCATACAGCTGTAACATGTGGTGGGTGGAAGGGTGGAAGAGAAGGAAGAGTTTGGTGAATGAGCGGGAAGCAGCTGGAGGGCATACAGTGAGAGTGGATGGCACGGATGTGTCATGCGGGTACTTCATGGGTGCATGTGGGAGGTGGAGAAGTTGAGACAGGTAAAACTGGTTTGCACAGAAAGAAATTTCTCCCTCTCACTTACGTGTGCACTTTTTGTTCTCCATTTTGAAACGTGTCTTGCACCGACACACCGGCTTTCCCCTCGCCACCGTGCACTGGGCATTCACAGGGCAGGCCCGCTTGCACACCGCTGGAGTGGGTGGGAGGTTGGGCGAGTGGACGAGAGGTTGGGGGCGTGGGTGGGAGGTTGGGGGTAAGGGAGCGGGAGAAGAGCAGGAGGCCGAGTGGGGTAGCAGTGGAGAAAATGAGGGCGAGCGGGGGGAGGAGAGTGAGTGAGTGGCAAGAGGGTTCAACAGAACCCCCAAGTACTCAAGATTGAATCACATTCAGCACTGTCTCTGAAGTATCCGCTGCCTCTTCACCTCTTGAGCTCCTGACTACCGGCCTTTGAAACAGAGCCCCTTGGCCATCGGCCTTTGAAACAAAATCCCTTGGTCACAAGCTTTTGAAAGTGAGCTCTAGGTCAGCTCACCAGTGCAGAGGCCGCTCCTCTTGGTGTAGCCGGCGTCACACTCGCAACTCCCCTGGCCGCCCTTCACAATGCACTTTGAGTTCTTGGCGCACTTCAGTGCGCCCGTCTTACACGGGTCTGCCGCTGCCAGGGGTGGAGGAGGGAAGGAAGGAGTTAGCGTGAGCCTGAATGCTAGCAGCAAGAGGCGAAGACACTCACCAGCAGCAACAGACAAAGATGCCTAGCAGCGGCAAGAGACAAGGACACGTACCAGCAGTATAATACGCATTGCTGCAGGTCTTCTCAGCCTCGTTGAACATGAAGCCCCAGGGGCACCTGCATTGGGCCTTGCCCTCCTCCACATCAGAGGTTCCACAGTTCTAATTTTGAGACGTATCAAACCTAGGCCTACCAGGGTTGACAGTCTTATTGCTGCAGGTCTTCTCAGCCTCATTGAACACGAGGCCCAAGGGGCACTTGCACTGGGCCTTGCCCTCCTCCACAACGCACATGGCTGTTCCACAATCCTTGGGACACGGGGCTGTTGTGGGGACCACAGACGGGGCTGTTGTGGTTACCACAGAGGGACAAACACCCCAGGCAAAAAAAGGGAAGGGGTAAGGGGGACCATAAGGGAGGCTTAGGGAGACAAAGAAGAGGCTTGTTTCTCACCTTCTTTTACCCAGTCTCTTCCATACTGGTGACTTGTCAGAATGAACAAACAAGTTCTGAAGGTATTATAACGAAGGACAACACTCCATCGACAGGCGGCCCAAGAGGTTTCCTCTCGGCACCCACACACACTCCAGCACTCACCACTGCATGCCTTGTTCGCTGCATTGTAGATGTAACCTTAAACGTTGCACGAGCAAGTGGCAGTGCCATTGCCTCCCACAGAGCAGGAAGCACTTGCCCCGCAATCCACTTGATAACACGCATCTGCAGGAGAATCAGTGGTGATTCGAGGAAAAGAAGCATTTAGGGTGTAGGGATTAGGGTTTAGGGTCTAGGGAAAAAATTGGTTACCCCACACTCTAGCACTACCACCCTTCCACTCACCATTGCAATTCTTGTCTGTCTCGTTGAAGGTGTGGCCAGTTGCATTGCACAAGCACTTGGGAGTGCCAGCGGCTGTAACAGAGCAGGAAGCACTTGTCCCGCAATCCACTTGATAGCACGCATCTGCAGGAGAATTAGAGGTGTTTCGAGGCAAGGAAGGGTTTATGGTTTCCGTAAATGGAAAAATCCGGTTAACCACACTCCGACACCCTCCCACACTTCCACTCACCATTGCAAGTCTTGTCTGCTTCGTTGTAGGTGTAACCAATAGCATTGCAGGAGCACTTGGGAGTGCTAGCGGCTATAACAGAGCAAGAAGCACTTTTCCCGCAATCCACTTGATAACACGCATCTGCAAGGGAATTCAAGATGGTTTCAAGACGAAATGGGGGAACGGAGATGTGAAAT